AGACGGCAATGGCAATGGTGAGGAAAAGTGCGGAGACCATAGCGCGGAGCGGCGCGCCGAGGATGGTCGCGGGGTTGCCATAGTCGGTGATCAGATATGTATACGCAGTCTTGGCGACGCATCCGAAGTGCGCAGCCTCACATATCCTGTGGAAAGGCGTCAGCTATAAGCTGCAACAGCAATGTGTTTGGAGTCAGTACCATATGAACAATGCGGTTGCCTTGATGCGCCAGCTGTCATCGGGGAATCGAGTATAATACAGTAGCGGCAAAATCAAATGATTCTGCCTTTTTTGGCAATTTTGTGATGGGAAGCTCTTTTCAGTATTCTAGCAAGAAATACGCAATGTACAGCAAAACTAAAAGTATGGAGGGTAAATAGTAGCTAGTATTTGGTCCAAAGAAAGTTATTATCCTTGAGTAAGCGAAGGCGGCGTGGAAATGAATGATAGACGTCTACGACATACTTCCCAAAAGAATCACTATACCAAATTTCTTCGAGCAACTGGAACAGCTGCATGTTGGTCCGCAGCTCCCAGTAGCGCCTGTCCAAGCGTGCCCGGCGCTTTAACTCAGCCCAGACATTCTCAATTGGGGAGAGATCTGGGGAGAGTGCCGGCCAGTCGAAGACATTGATGTCGTGTTGGTGAAACCAGTCCTTCACAACTCTGGATTTATGCTTGGGGTCATTGTCTTGCTGGAAGACGAGGAAGGTGTGTGGACGGCGTTGGTAGTGCTGATACATTGGTAGCATCGCGTGCTCAAGAATCTCTGTATACTTGACACCAGTCAAGTTGCCTTCGATACGAAAGAGAGTTCCCACTCCATCTGGCCCAATAGCGCCCCACACGTTCACCTTGACCTTGAGTCGGCCATGGGGGAGGTGCCGGCGGATGTTCCTCTCAGTATACACGTCGACGGCGTGTGTATCGAATGCCATCCGATGCCGCAAGATTGACTTTGCTTTCATCTGAGTTGATAAAGACTCCCTGGTTGAAGACACGCTCATCGGTCCAGCTCTGGTTCTTCTCATACATTGTCTTGCGTTGCTGGACATGTGAAGGCTGGAGGTTGGCCTTCTTGCGTCGGACAAACCCCCCAAGACCACGACGTGTGAGTAGAGCGTGTCGGACCTGGGAAATCGATAGAATCAGATGTTAGTGTGTAGAAAAAAAGTATTGACACGCACTGTGCGTTCCGGGACATCAGGAATCACTTTGCGATGAACATCCGCCGCAGTCTGCAATTCTCCCGACTCAATCCGCTCAACCACCTCGTCTAATGTCTCCTCTGAGATCTTGGGTTTGCGTCCACACCTCCCAATCTTCCCATTATAATAGCAGTCTCCATGATGCTTCTTGACAGCGCGCGAACATTTGCTGCGATGACGCAGGGTTGGATGGCCTTGAATGGCGACCATTGTGCAATTTGTTGATAGGTTAGGTGAAGCTCATCATGGAGAATGATAGCTTTTGCGCGCTTGGTGGGTGTACATTTAGTCGCAGGATGCTCAATGGCACGTCGTTGGGGTGTGGTTGGAGGTGTCCGCACCATACAGTGGCGAAAAGAGGGCAAAGGAGGCAATGTGACATGTTATTGATCGTAACTACCAAAAAAGGCAGAATCATTTGATTTTGCCGCTAGTGTAGATATACCCTTGTACGGTCGTGATCCCTATTCGTTGGGGTTAGAGGCAACGTATTGGAGGGATAATTCTTGAAGTCACCGAACAACACCGATGAGAAAAGTACGCCAATGAGCAGCGCGCCTAATAACAAGCCATGAGTGGGATTCAGGTGATAAAAGGACACCCACCTAGGGTGGGATTGGGGTCGAATATGATTTGAGTCGTCGACATGGCCTGGGTCTCTTGGGATCGCAATCAGACGTCTGCAGTATGTCCTGCGGCTTTTATAATCAGAGCGGGACTGTAGAGGCGCTGGAGAACCCGTCCGCATGTCGGATCCTACTAGAAGAGTGGAGGGCGCCACAGTACTAATACTGTCCACAGAGTAGCATTTGACAGTTTGTTGTCGAGTAGATCGAGAGTTCCCGTCTTATATATGGCGCGCGCCATGAATAGCGTGAGATTGAATGTTAGCTGTTTGATGCCGACGCCGCGCGAAGGCCGGGCGCGACGTCCAACGACAGAGTCAGGACAGGGTCTTGATCCACATAGATGGAGAAGAGGCGAATTGGAATTGGGGAGACTTCGCATGTGGGAATTGGGGTATCAGTGCTAGTGTTGTTCAGGGCCGGGCTGCCCTGCCAAGCCCCATTTAGGGCCGGGCTTACCAGGGCTGAGGCTTGACTTGAGGTCAAGCCCTGGCCCTAGGCCCTGCCCTGCCCTGCCCTGCCCTGGGCTTAGGGCTCAGGCCTTGCGTATAACACAAGTGAAACGCAAAAGTTTGATTACAACTTAAGTAGCTAGGACTCGTCATCTGTAAGATAGCAGTCATCAGCGAGGTCCAATCCATCCTCCACAACCTTGAGCTCTGATTGAATTTGGCCCTCCTTCACCTCTTCATTCTCTAGCTGCTGCTCATACGAGAGTGTTTCCTGCATCTCCGGATACCAAATGTTGTGTTTCAATGCAAACTTCAGCGTTTGAAGCGCTTCCACCACGTCCGGCTTCAATCGGTTGCGGCGTTTAGTAATTGTGAGGCCAGCGGAAGAGAATACCCGTTCACACGACACAGACGACGCAGGAATGGCAAGGTAATCACGCGCCAAAGAAACCCATGTGGGGTCATAAAGGTAGCCATTTTGCTGGGTGAATGTCAGGTGGGAATCGTTGGGAGTATGGAGAGACTCGGACTCACGGCCCACCAGTTCAAGACAGTTTGCTTTTCGTTGAGCGTGTCTTGGTGATCGAAATAACGGTCAAATGCAGTGTCAACATTGGGCCCCGATGGGATGGGTGCAGGACCTGGAACTATGAGAACATTTGTATCGGAGCTTGACTGAATGGGAGTATCGTCTTCGTCTTCATCATCCGAGACCGTAAAGAGATGCTGGCCTTTCTTCGACACCTTCGATTGCCGATATGGGACTGCTGGCCCTTTGTGGATCTTCTCAAAGCGAGTCTTGAACTGGATTTTGACGTGAGGAAACAGCCGATGAATAGCGGAATACACACAACCGATTTGACACTGGCCTTGGCCGCCTCGTATTCATCCTTAGTCCAATATGCCTTTAGCCATGCCAGCTTCATAGTCGGTTCAAGTACTAAGCAACGTTCGTCAGTGCCAATTGTTGTACAATGCGAGGACCAAGAAGACTACCCATTGCCATGAGGTACGCGTCAGAGGTTGCAGAGCGGTCATAATATTCTGCAATCAACTCAAGCGCTTGGTCTAGGGCTGGCTTGAACTCTCCAAACTCGGGTTTGCTGGACATCGCAGTCCATCGCTGGTGAATACGCTCGAGAGCAGGGATTACAAGGTGGAGAGTCGGGTACTTCTCCGCCGAACCCAGTTGTTGGGAGTCATCGGCAATCTAGACAGTCAATATCCACCGCTCTAGAAGCAGTATTTGAGTTGACGTACTCGAAGAATCTTGATCATCTTCTTGATTCGAGCCCAGTCTTCCTCCTCCATCGTCAACTTGTCAACCTTTGCCTTCTGTTTTGTGGTGAGACTGTCATCGCACAGAAGCTCAAGCCGGTAACGTTTTACAGCCTGGAGGAGTCAATGTTATATGATCTTGAAGTGAGTCGAGCACACAGACACACCTTCTTAAGCTGATACCCACGTCCAATGAAGTAGAAGAACGAGGACCACCGAATCTTCATGTCGAGAACAAGTTTTAGTGGTTTTTGAAGTTTTTCCTTGGTGGATTCAGCAGCCGCTGCAAGTGCCACCTGAATGTCTCGAAACTTCTTTTGCTGCTTATCACTTGAGCGGGACTAGAAAGAATCAGAGCAGTTTTAGAGTGAAACATATTTTACCTTGACCGCTAAAGCGCGTAACTTTCCTGCAGAATCTCCTGCAGTCGTTGGAATGTGTGCCTCGGGATTATGCGGATCGTAAGGTTTTGACGGACTGACTGCCGCAATAAACCGTTGGGCTGCCAAGTTGACGACATGCGAGAGACAACTGTAATCGATCAGTTGGAACAGGCACGGTGAGGTACCCATACCGAATACGACAGTTTACATCTTCATATTTCTCGCCTGTATCAAGTGCAACTAGTCGGGCAAATTCCTTCATCATCGTATCGTTGGCGTTTGTGTTGTCTGATGCAACAAACCCAACCTAGATAGTTCGTATGAGAGAAGGTGAAAGACATCGACTAAAACACGCACCTTTGAGCAGATATCTACCCGTTTACAGATCTTGTACAGCGCTTGGCCTAAATGCCGCCCGGAATGGTTGGCTAAATTGACGAAGCCAATAACGCGCGTAACCAGCTCCCAACTACGGTCAAGACCATCACCGGTCTCTGCAATATAGTGGGTATTGACATCGAAGTAGCTATCCCGATTCCCTCCATCCCACCCGTCACACGCAATGGGAATTTCACCACGAACTTTCTGAATCATCATGAGTGACATGATAGATACCCCGTATTGACGCACTGAGAGAGCTTCCCGAGTTTCCCGTATGTAGGCCTGGAACATGTCGATAATCTGTTGTCTTGTTGCGGCACGGCTGGGAATCTTGACAACGCCATCCGGCGCTTTCGCGGCGAGTTGGATCATCTCTTGGAAGCTTGCATCTTGGAGGGCGTCGATAGGCTGCCATAGAAAGAGGTCAATACTAAGCAATACTTCTAATGGCCCACGTACCTGATCCGTGACAATTTGCCAGCAGACTGCAGCCGCCGCAAAACTTGTCGTCCGTATAACGTCCGAGTCCGGTTTTTGGTACGTTCTTGTTGATGGTGGTGAGATGACCGTCCAGATTTGATTGACGAAGACGTTCTGCTCCCTGATGAGTGTTAGTGAGATGCTGGTTATGTGAAGTTGACGTCGATACTCACCTCCTGGGCCTTTTTCTTTCAGTCAGCCACATCCGCTTCAAGCATCGACAAAAAGTTCTTTTCTCGACAGAACTTTTCGTATTCGCGCTATTCCAGAGTCAGGCCAAGAAGGGACAAACAAAGAAACCATACCGGATGCTTTGAAGCAAGGTGCCGCCGTCTGGTGGATACATCCTTGACGAACGAGACCTTGTCAGCCTTCTTGAGCCTTATCCACATATGAGACGTTGACCATCGTGTAGGCTAACCACTCACCGGCGAGCTACGCAGTCGTAATGTATCTTCATTGCTTCCCCACCTCCTCGGACCAAAGTCTTGCGCTGGTGCTTGTTGCTGTAGAAGTATTCGAGGTCGGCGGTCGGCTTGGTATCGTTCAGTGGTGCATTCACATCCACATCTTCGACAGCGGTGACATGCACATTTTTCAGCATGCCCTCCGCATCTTCCTCGTATGGACTGGGAAGGATGGACGAAGCCTGAGAAGATCCAAAGGCTGGGTTTTGATCAGCACCAACTCAAGGACGTAGGACAGACGCACCTTCGCCATCCATCTCTTTCCCAGCATCTGTCTCCGCATCTGTCTCGGCATCTGGAATTACAGCTTTGGGAGAATCAGCTACCTCCAGGACATCACCAAGCCACAGTACCGTTTTTAGCGCGCTTCCTGACAGGCTTGATGCGCCGGCTCGATTCCTCGTCATTGGAGTCGGAGTCATCGATGGAAATTCGCTCATTGGGGGACTCATCAGCTCGATGAGGAGCACGCCGTTTACGCGATGCGTTGTTGGGGAGTACAAGAGAAGGGTCAGGAACGTCCCTCTCACGTCGCGCAGAAGCAGCAGACATGAGAGAAGAAGACGAGAAAATTTCTGTGGCAGTGCTTGGCAGTGCAAACGGTGATTCCGGTCATTTGACTAATTTCAATGAGTCACTCTCGGCAGGCCGCCGAGGGCGGGGCTTGGAGGGCCCAAGCCCGGGGCCGAGGGCTTCCGTGACCCAAAGCCTCAGCCCCGAGTCCTGACAGGCCCTTCCGAGGGCCGGGCTTGGGCCGGGCCTGAGAGGGCCGGGCCGGGCAGGGCTCCAGGGCTTAGGCCCGGCCCTGGACAACACTAGGTATCACGGATGATCAGGGCTGGTGAAGCGGCTTGGACGGAGGATAGAGGCTATACTGAGTAAATACCTTTCCGGTGAGCGCATTAGCAAATTACCCCCATGAACAGTCGGGTGCAAAGCACTACGTTGTTGGCCCAGTGGCAAGTATTCCGAGTCTCTAGTCCGAGTCAAGGCTTCCGCGAGGGCAAGACCGCCGAGGAGAACGATACGGACCAAGCTGCAGACCGCGACGTCAGTCCACCAAAATTGGCCGATGAGCCACGGTCTCGGTCTGCCAAATCGTCGTGGCGGAGAAGAGAGAGGAGGATGACAGCGTGGGATGGCGTGACGACTCGTCACGCTACCCATCAATTTGTCAACAACCTTTTTCTCCTCTTCATATCACCATGGTCTGCGGCAACACTCCCCGCGTGGACGGCCAACAGCAAGTTCTTTACCCCGCTGGCGTGCTAGAGCTGTTATCAGCTGACGACATGCGCTGCGCTGGCCCCGGCTACCAGAAAATGAGTTGCGCCGCAGTCCACGCTCAATGCTCGCTCGGTTGATTCCTGTTGATCCCGGTGACTCGTGCGTCCTGCGGCACAGCGTCGTGTGCTACATATAACACTCTTCTATACGATGTACTGTCAACCAGTGGCCATGGCAGGTGCGTTTCTCCTCAACAACCTAGAAAGCATCCCAACGCTGCGCCAGGGCTCCTATCGTACTTTGGCCGTCCCGATACCAAGCAAGCCGCGCGCGACGCTATCGTGCGGCTCCGCGAGACAGTGCATCTGCTGGAGAAGAAGGAGGCGCATCTGCAAAAGGAGATCGACGAGCAATTGAGAATCGCGAAGGCGAATGTGGTGGCGAATAAAGCGCGTGCGTGTCGCCGGCATTTCCTTCCGTGTCATCCGCTAAATTGCAGAATGCAGTTGCCACACGTGCCTTGAAACGCAAACGCCTCAAGGAAACGCAGCTCGAACAGTTCCGCGGCCAGCAGCTGCAGATTCAGATGCAGATCGACACACTGGAGAGCGTGCACATCAACAAGGCGACGGTAAGGGCGATGAAGGGCGCGGCGGAAGTTCTGCAGTCGATTAACAAGAAGATGTACGTTTCCCTTTCGACTGTCTAGAGCCATTTTTAGTAACAATCAATTCACTCAGGACCGTCGCCGACGTCGACCGAACGATGGCCGATATCGCGGAGCAGCGCGAGGTCGCCTACGAGATTTCTGCGCTCATCTCAACGCCGGTCGGCGTGGACACGGTCGACGAGGTGAGCTCTGGCTTCTACATTATCACCAATTTTATCATTCATCAAGGACGACCTCCTTCTCGAGCTCGCCGAACTGGAAGACGACGTGATCACGGAGCGTCTCGCCGCCGCGTCGCATGCGCCGCTGTATCATCCTGATGTTGGCTCAGTGCCGATGCGTGAGTTTTCTTTGCTGGGTCCCTGGCCCCATGCTGACATGTTGGCGCACCAGACGCAGCACTGCCAAACGAAGAGGAGGAGATCCTTCGCCAGCTTCAGGCGGACATGACCGCACTATAGTATGTAGTCTCCACATCTCTCAGTGGACCGCGTTTGAGGGATGCGCGGGCTGACTGAGTTAAAGTTGACATTTTTCTGCCATTATGTATTTCTTTCTTGCCGCTCATCAAATGCGGACATGGCTCTCGTTTGGTTGAATAAGCATTTAGCCGTTGAATAATCATTTAGGGTTGACATTATTTTAATATTTAGTGGTTGCCCGACTTCTCGTTCCCTATTTTCGCAAAGCACGCGGTCCGAGACCCGATGGTGACGTCACATCGGCCGGCCGTGTGACACACACCGATCAATATTTTTCTCATCTCACCGTCATGTACCGACGCGGGTTCTCCTCGTCGCGGCGGTACAGGGCGGCTGCGACGCACTACGAGGTACTGGGGCTGGCGCGGGACGCGTCGCCCGCGCAAATCAAGGTCCGTCGTTGAGTCGTTTCCTTGAGCAAGCTGACACGTTGGCAGACGGCCTTTTTCGCTGTGGGTTCTTCCGCTGCGTCGGCCTTGCGCGTGACTTATCTGCGGAGATGTAGCTGAGCAAGCGGCACCATCCCGACGTGCCCGACCACAAGTCGACGCCGGCGTTTCACGAGATTACGGCGGCGTATAATGTCTTGCGGGACCCAGTATCTAGGTGTGCCAGATACGATTAATTTCGTGTGCTTCATATGACTGAGGAGACTATGAAAGACGCGCATATGACAACACACTACCATCCATACCGCGTCCCGCCCCATCTACGCTGTATTCGCGCCATATGGCGGATACCGCTGCCCGCTATCGCCGCGCAGCCACCCGTTCTTCCCCGCCTCCCCAGTCCCACTCACATGTGAATCCACACTCTTCCTCCCATCGCGCTCAACCCTCCCAAACGTCCTTCCGCAAACGCGCCGCTGCTCATGACCCCGTCCTCGGAGCACGCGACCGACACGAGCGGCATCCGGGCCAGCGCTACCGCCCGCCTGACCCCGTTGCACAGGCCGCCGTGTGGGCCGTGAAGAAAGAATTAATGCGCGAACAGAAGACACGCCCACAACGCTATGTGGTTGGCGTCGTGGGCTCTCTCGGCGCGCTGTTTGGGATCAGCTGGGTGCTAGGGACTTGGTGGCCATAAACCTGTTATTCGGCGCGGCTATGACAGCTGGGACGCGGAGGCTACCCATCTATGTTGCTATTCTACCGTCTACGTACTGCTCGTAGATGTTTGGCAGGACGTGGACGTTCGACCGTCCAAGAGTGGTATCTCTGAAGTTAGTCTAGTCTTGTATTCTAGTCGCCAAACAATGAAGAGGGTTTCGCGCGACCTTGCAGTCTGATGGTCTAAATTATCGGGTAGGTTACTGCTATCTTTTAAGTCCTGACATGCAATTCTAAACCCCAAGTGAATCAAACTCACCAAAAGGCCGTTCAGACACGAAAACTAAATTCTAGTAGGAAAGGTCTAAGGACTCAGAGGCATCATTCATTCATGTCTTTCATGATTCGTAGAGAAGCGTAAGCAACGAGGGTCCGAGCCCAACCGGAAGAGAATCAATCTCAACTAAACGACATATCAGTCCAGCCATGAGATTGTCGAGGCAACGCACCTCGAAAAAACACAAACAAGAAAAAGGAACGGCACGGAAAACGCAACTACGACCCTCTTCTTCCGATGCGGAAGCCGAAGACCCTCTTCAACCAGGAGGGCTCCTTCGGCATAGGCATGGGCATAGGCGGGCCGGGGGCGGCGCTGGCAGCGAGCCTGCGGCTGCTTCCACCGCCCAACCGGCTCGATATCGGGGTCGCTGCCCTCGGCGCGGGCGGCGGTAAATGCGGGGCGCTGGCGCTCCCATAGGCTCCTGGCGGCTGGCCCTCGTACCGTATCGGACGGATTGGGGGGACACTGTGTTGGTGCTGGTGTTGGGAACGTATCGGGGGGATCTGCGACGCGATCGCGGCGGTCGTGGCATATATTGGTCTGGGTTGCGGGGCCATAATGTGTGGCGGGTGCGAGTGAGAGTGAGCATGTACATGTATGGGGTGCTGCATGGGCGTTGGATTCGAGTTGGTGCGGACAGGCGCGCCGGGACGGATCGGTACCGGACCGGGGCGGGGTACAGGTCCGAACGCGGGCGGGAGCGCAAAAGTATAGGATGTGGGCTGGAGAGGGTCATATAATTGAGGACTAGGTGGCGCATGTTGATGCATAGGTGGTACTGCCGGCTGTGGAAGGGAATTCGATCGGCGATGGCGGATAGCGTTGGGGGCATGGTGGGTGTGGGTGTGGACGCCATGGAGGGGAGCATGATGTGTGGGGGAGGGCGGATTGGTCGGCGGTCCGTGGTACATTTCGCGTCTAGAATGACGAGGGGCGGAGTATATTCCGGCATATGGGTCCATATCTCGAGGAGGAGGTGCTGTTCTTGGCCTGGGAAGCGGCCCTCCGCTGTGGGAACGACCGAGCTTGATCCCCCGCGGTGGGACCGGTAGCGGAGGTGGCGGCGAGACCTCTCTCTCTCTATGGCGCCGTCTATCTCTTGACCCATCTCCGCTGGAGCGCGTTCTGTCTCTAAGAGACTTGCCTCGCTTGCCGCCCCGCTCGTCGCCGTGTCGGGGTAGAGGCGCTTCGGACAGCGCTGGTGTCCGTGGCGTCTCGGGGTCCGCTTGCTGAACTTCATGTGTCTTCTTGGCCCACCGCGAAATGCGGTCCTGGGTCGCAAGGTACGCCTGCAGCGCCTCTTCGCTGTAGTCGTATTCCGTCATCGTCGGTAGCTGCTAGCGCTGGGCTTCTCTGGAGGCGTCGCGAAGATAACGAGCCGTTAATGTGTCGAAACACGAATGAGATGGGGTGCCCTGTGATGAATCAAAGGAGGTGTGGGTGCTGACGCAGGAGGAAGGGGAGGAGGCCAGACGGCAGACGAGGGCGAAAAGCAAGAGGGAGAAACGCCAGACCACACACGCAAGCACATTTCGTGGGCGTGTACGAAGCGAAGAGTGAGTCACCGGCTGACACGTGGCGACAATATGTTATGTCCTCGGCTAGCCGCTTTGGCAGCTGATCCGCAAACTGGGGCTTTTCGCGGACGCCCTTCACATGTACAACCCCCGCCGCGAGCTCGCGGACCTGTCCATCTGAGTTCCGCTCGCTGCAGCGCCAACTATTTTCCGCTGGGACAGAAGTTCTTGCCACCACTGCACTTGCCCGTTACAAATTCTCACGCGCCTCGAGGTTTCCGCACGGCTATCGAATCTATATCAGGCAGTCCCATATCATCCGTCCGGATCTTGGCTACGCGGACGAGCACTCGTGGCGGCGCAAGGGCGGAGACAACAAGTCAACAAGAGCTATGGTGAGAACGTCGCCGTAGACTACAGTGTTTCAGCCTTCCCCAGCGCCAAAAATTCCGTCGGCCGACAGAGCCGAAACTCCCGTGGAAGCAGCCAGCGGCGGTTCGAATCCGAGTAGATACTGTTCTTAATTTCTGATTGTATTTGCGATAGGATGAGGTGGATATATGGCTAGATACCTGTGGGCATCTGAGGGAAAAGTATCCATTCCCACAAAAGGAAAGAAGGGAGAGGGATTTGTCAATGTTGGCAAAAATTTCCTTTTGAGAAATATATGTCATAGCAGCACTTCAGATGGCCTGTGTGTCATATTATTCACCTTTATTCACCCTTTACTGATTCAACCTAGCAGAAATTTGCCTTGAAGTTTAGAATTATTCATCCCACCTTTTAACAAGTATTTACCACGTAGGAAGTACTATCAGCACTGTGGCATATCAGTACACCACTGATAATGGATAGTTGGTTGTGCTAAGTCCCCAAAAATCAGGTGACAAAAACTGAGTCTGTTTTGGCTTAATAAGAGAGAGAAAAGGGGGGCTTTCAATTGGCTGCTGATCTGGTCCCCGTTTATAATACCTATTTCTCATTTAAGCAGGTGAATTTTGGATATTTTTTGGGGGCATAGATAGAGGTATAATTTTTTTTTTGATACATTGATCTTGGGCATACAATGCATCAAAATAGCCACCATTTAATTCCTACAGTATTTAGTTCTGCCCTTATAGTCCTGTTGCAGATTTAGGGATTTCCCCTTGGGAAAGTTAGGGGAGTTTTGACGCAATGGAAATTCAGAGTTAACACCGGAGGCATGCCCTGAGGCACCAGGCAGGTCTCAGGCAATTTGGCCTCATGGCAACCCCATGAGCCATGCTGATTAGATTGCAGCAAGATAAGTCTGCGCGTCGTCATTTCGACCGGCCGACACACCGCCAAACTGAGCTAAATCGGCCGGGTCCCTGGCGGACGGCGACAGGTCGTCCACAGAACAGCGGCGCCGCTGCTGCTGGGCAATTTATCGATTGTCTGCAGCGTCCTGTCGCCGACTCCGGCGGTAGTTCGGCCATGCAACGGCGACAGATTTGGGTATGCCTCAGTCACCCGATTCCTTGCGCGGCTCACGCAATTTGTTATAAAACATGTGAATATTCATTTCTTAGCTTCAGCACTATACAAGTTCCCACTCTGAAGGTGCCCTGGCCTTTGTCTCCCCTGCAATCAAGTGTCGTTTGCGATGGCACCGAACGGACTGGCTGGAGGTTCATTAAGGATGTTGTCAAATCGGGCGGACGCATTTGTCGTTGTTGTCTGTTGTGAGGTGCTTAGGAAACATGGCTATGGGCCTGCGGGTTCGCGAGCTACCCGAGGCCTGCGCCTAACCGGCAAGTACCCGCACCCATGCCTGCGGGTACAGGCCAAGTGCGGGTTGAGTGCGGGTGCGGGTACGGGCCACCCTGGCCAAGTCTGCGGGTGGCCCGTGACAATCACTAGATGCGGCATCGCTGTGGTACAGCAATGGCAAAGGATCAACAGCGGAGATGCAGCATGGTCGGTGAATTGGCCTTGAAATTTGGATTGGCAGTGTCATGGCAGTGGCCGCCTCTCAGCGGAACGTTTGCCGATTTGAGGCTTGAGCTTGTTCAGTGATGCGCCGGCAGCCGGAATGTGGGGTTTGACGTGCAGCTGGTAGGTCCGAGATTGTGGTGGTTAGGGAAGAGAAATGACATAGGTACAGCACTGCCTCATGGTTACCATGAGGCCAATCTGCCTGAGGCTCGCCTGATGTCCGTAAAGCATCATCAGGCAGCCTGATGCCTCGGGACATGCCTCTGGTGTAAAGCTAGAGCACAAAAACCCAAGGTCAAACTTATAGATAAATATCATATTTATCCACTAAATCAATGTGGGATTTCTACAAAGGATATCTTGGATAAATCAGGACATTTATCTGTCAGAAAAATATGGGGTTGTTCTATTGGATTAAAGCCACAGAAAAATCTGTCATTTAAAAAGACAACACAAGTTTAGCTGTTGCTTTATCTAAAAACCGCCAGATTTTTCCTGTGAATCAATACTTGGATATACTTATTTGAGATTTATCTCTAGTATTTTACTTTGTAAAAATTACAGCTTCAATTCAGTTTGAGTTTTTCCGCTGGAAAAAGGACAGCTTTGTCCACAGGTTTTCGTTGCATCAAAAGCTACCATTTATATCACAGTTTTATCACACAAAAGATAGATAAATATAATTTTCCCGATGGGGAAACTTCTAAATGTCACGATGACATGCACGTGTCGCAGCACAGCCATCCGCCACTTGTCACAAACGCTCATGGAGAAGTCGCCACCCGATATAGTTCTTGCTTTCGCCGCGCTGTTGGACGTGGAGGACCTGCTCAACCTGCTGGCAGTGCGTATGGCCTCCGCGCCCCATGATCAAAGCACTGACTATCGCTTGCAGACCTGCCGCCGGATTCGTGCCTTAAGCGCGGAGCCCGCGCTGTGGATCGGCTGCCTGCAGCGCATTGAGTGCGTGCAGATGCACCCTGTGACGTCCCGGGCGAGGGACTTCGCCGCACTACCGCTCGCCGAGCTCAAAGCCATGGCGCACCGTGCCGCCCGGATTCTGCGCAATCTCGCGTCGCCTAGCCCCCGCCTGGAGCGCATTCTGCGGATCGCTGGTGCTCTGAAAGACGGCCACTTCTTAATCCCTGGCACCGGTCTCTTGCTGACCAATCCACCTGGCAGAGTCGACTGCTGGGACGTGGTGCAGGCCCGTGTTGTTGCGAGTGTCGCCCATGAGCGACTGCGTATCTTTGGCATGAGCTGTGTGTGGTCTGGCTCTCGTGTGCTGTTCAGTGCTGCGATTATAGAGTCGTACGTCGCAGTCTCTTTTCACTACTGATGCCGATTCCGCCACCAGAGAGCGTACTAATGATGTCGTGCTTGAGGCCATCGCGGTCGTCTGCGTCGATCTAAAGGACAGGGAAAAGATCCGTATAACGACTGTGGTCTCCCCCCGGATCATACATGCAACACGACAGACCCCGCACTTCCCTGATGTTTTTATTACAGAGAAGCTCATGGGGATTGTATGTCACCGGGGTACGTTCACGATGGAAGCGGTCGGTCTCCTGTGTTGGCCGATAGATGCATCTCAACCGGTGTCCATTTGTCGGTACCCATTTCCTGAGGTGAGCATCTTTACCCTGTGTCTTCCCCGCATCCCACTCACCCGCAAGGCCACAGGACCAACGCAGTATACTCAGCTTCGACGCAGCTAGCGGCATCCTTTACGGACTGGTCCCTGCACCGGAATTGAACACCGCGGTGTCTGTGGTGCACAGTTTTCCCCTGCGGGCCCTCTCGAACGGTGGGATTCAAGTTGATCCCTCAGCCCCGGTGGCTTCAAAAACGCTCGTGCACCCCGATGACAATGTCCACAACCCACCGGGAGACGGCGGGTGGAACTCCTGGTCCTCGGCCGGCTTCGCGGCCACGTGTAGCGCTGATGCACAGGCCCGGTTCGGCGTCCGCGCCGTCGCCTGGCGGTCTCAACACTTCCAGCGACAATACGCGGCAGTGGGTGCGGCGCAACGCCGGCTGCTGACGTCTCTCACATTCCTCCGGGCCGGCCCGGGCACCGGGGAAGCACACGCTGCGGACGCCCTGGTGTTTGCGGCTCCGGCGGGCGATGGCAACCACGTGGGGGGATACTCGGGCCGGTACCTTGTGTTCTCGTCCGGGGGCCCGGGGCTCGCGGGTCAAGGCTCGCTCGGCTTGGGCATAGCCCGGCTACCGGAGCGGCCCGGGGGCGCGCTGCGGATTGCGCGGTTCTCCGGGGGGCCCGACGGTATCGACCTCAACGCGCGTGATATCAGAGTGCGGGCGGTGGACGATATCCTGGGGCTTGTCGTTCTGTGGGACAGGAAACAAGAGTGTGCGAACATTTATTCGTACTCCGGGGATTGGGGGCGTGGGTGTCTGCGCGGGACCCCGCACGATAAATGTGTTGTTTGCTGAAGGGATTTCTGGCGGCTTGAATGAGTAATCCATTCAGCTCGAAACATTCTTTCACCAATTACCGACCCTATTCCATCAGATTCACTGCCTGAATGACTCCAAATTTTATAACTCGCCGGATTACGGTTGTTATTTGGTTGGCGCCGATAGCCCATTGTTTGGTAACGAGCTGGGAAAATGCACTACCTTGAGCCGAGGGCTGAAGGTGGCGCCTACGTTACGCGGCCGTTTCCGGGTATCCCCGTCCGGCGTTGGAGCCCGAGCTGCCCGATGCCCACGAACGGACTCGTATCACGGAACGCGATCCGAATGGGAAGATGCGATGGTTGTCTGCGGATCATTGGGCCATTTTTTTCCGTCGCCGAGCCAAGGCACGCCAGAGAAACCTATTGAACGCCCGCCTCATGCTAGGCCCAAGCTAGGCCCTCGACCGTCAATGTCTGGGCCAATTGTGTGGCCATGGGCTGTTGCAACGTTGGCGGCCTGTACTCAGATGTCCCCAATGTCTTCCGAGTCGCAAAATTTTAGCGATCAAGAAAAGCTGGCTGTGTGGAGCGTTGCCATGCAAACGCAAACGACGTCGACAACGCCGTTGACCGCTGATTACCACAGCGCTGGGTCGAGCGGCCGTCGGTCCGTGTCCCGTCCCGACACGCTTAATCCCAATGTGGGTCCGATTCCAGCGCTGCCACACGACAGGCATGAGATTTGCTAATTGTTGAATAACGGCGGGCCAGCGCTGGCGCCGATCACAACACTGGGCGTGCCGCGCGAGTCAGTTGATGTGTTGCGATTCGGTTCGCCATTGTTGGGCGCCAGGTTGGGTGCTCCTGATTCGGCGGTGTCAAAAGGTGTCAAAATCAAAATGGACCAGAATGATTTGAGAAAGAAAAGATCCGCTCAATCAAAGCTGAACAGTGACCGTCGGTGCATCCGAGTCGAACGACGAACACAGGAAATGGACTTGGAACGGACAGCATCTCAAGCCATGACTCACCTCTCGAGTCTCGACGTCTTCCTCAGCTATGGACCAGAGGTGATTTGAGAACACGAAGGCTGAAATAAGATACAGTATTCGAGTAGCGCAATCAGAAGGCGAAGATCCAGTAGCTGCAATCGGAAGGGAGCCGCCCGCCACCGTCGTGCGATAGAGCGTATTTACGCACGGAAGAACGCGCTCCGACTCGGACGCCCGCGTACGCAAGCTTCAAGGTGCCGGTGCCGGTGCCAAGTCGCCCGCGGAAGCTTCTGCGCCGGCCCATGCGATCTTCCTATTAGGAAGGGTGTGCTAGCTCGGATGGGGCGGGGCCGAGTGTTGGAACAAGACGGCTCGGGGGAACTCGCTCGGGACGGGCCACTCGAGGAGAAGCAGATGGCGGGAAGAGAACAGGTTTATTAGGAGACTATATGACGCTTATATACCTACACAGGGGCTACGGTCTGGGCAGTAACTGGCGAACAACGCGGTACGCTCCGCATTTCAACACCGAGCGTGCTGATGCTTTAGTAGGCCTTGAACCAGCTGCAGATTATCATTTGACGTCGGCGTTGGCGGGCGTAGGGTAGTGGCGCGACTAGGCCGGGCGTTGACCTGAACATCGTTCGAGTCCCTGGTCAATAGCCCACGCAGGAACGAGCGGTGGGGCAGGCCAGGCGAGACCCTAGCTAGGGCAGGAACGACGAGCCCAGAGTCTGAGAAGCCAGTTATAAGCTGCGAGCGAGGCGAATTGGCAGTGGTAGACAAATGGACACTGACTGGCAGCTGGGGACTAGCGCCGATCGCTGGGCAGGTGCTTCGTCCGCGAGGGCGAAATGGCGAATTCGGAGTCCGCTTCGATGCTGCCAAGTTCTCAACCTGCCTACATAAATTCAATAGTACGCATGCACCTGCAGCACCTCGCCCTGGATGTGGCGCCGTCTGCGACAAGGCAGGTCGCTTCGCTTCTGCGCTCGCCCGGGAGGTCGCCCGGCGCGGGTTCGACTCCCGTTTCGAGCCTGAGCGTAACTGGCGGTGCGTTTTTTGCCCGGGCCTGTGCATTCTCCGACGGTCTCAGTAAGAAGGACAGGCGAGATAATGAGAAGAAAGAACCTGGCCACCTCGAAGCGCATGCGCGGTCCGGATACAGCGTGCCCGGAGCGACGATTCGGCTCGAACAGCGGACCGAACGACGGAACGAGCGTCGAGCGAGTGTGCCGTACCGAGCCGCATGTAGCCAGCGCTTGGCACTCGACCATGAGTGGGGCGGACAGATCCGGAGTGCGGACGGGCAGCTGATAGCGGCGCGGCAGGAAAAGGGAAGAGGAAAACAGCAAAAAGAGTGACGTGGGGCCATGACACGGCGTGCTGACGTGGCGTGCCGCCACATGACAACGCGCGGAAAATTTGGTCCCGGAGGTCGCAGGATGTTCTTCTGTGTCCGCGTGGTGTGTGGTGCGACAGCAGCACGCCCACCGCCGCACGAATCAGGCGCTCCGTCGCGCGGGCGCCAGCCACAAATTGCACAATTCATGGCTAAATTACCTTTACAGGCTGACACATCGATCGGGTCCAAATCGGGCAACGCATCAAATCGGGCGCCCAAGCCGGCTTGCGATGGTTTGCGATGGTTCACACGTGAGTCACCCTTCGGGTCCCCTTTGACTGCGACTGCGACTGCGGCGCTGCGCCTGACGGGCTTTTTCGCCCCGTCCACGATGGGGCTATATAAGGGCTGCGGGCTGGGCGCTAACCCACTTCCCGCCCCGCTTGCCCGTTCACCAAACGATGCGCTTCTCGCCTGTACACGCTGCCTCGCTCGTCGACCCCGCCAGCCACAGCCCTGCGGTGCTCGAGCTTGTAGCTATACCGTTGACGAAGCCTGTTGTCGGTGCGTGTGCTGTCTTTCTTTCTTCTTTCCATGACTCACTTGCTCTTTCAGAGTACCTCATCGAGTCCGTCGTCGAGACCGTCGACTTCGCGCTGGGCCGCGCTCCCACAACACCGTCCGGCTACCTCTCCTCCTTCACCACCTTCGTCCACAACGTCCTCACCCGGGCTGAAGTCACGCCCGCCACTGTCCTCGCTTCCCTTGTTTACATCTCCCGCGCCCGCCCCCATCTGTCCATCGCCCTTGAAGAGTGGGCGCTTGAGCGGGTGTTCCTCGGCGCGCTCATCGTGGCCTCCAAATACACCAACGACTCGACCCTCAAGAACATGCACTGGGCGCTCTGCACCGGCGTCTTCGGCAAACGGGACGTGGGCCGCATCGAGCGCGAGTTCCTCGGCGTCCTTAATTGGGAGCTGGCCATCAAAGAGGCCGACTTACTGGCCCACCACGCTGCGCTCACCGCCGTAGCCTTACCATCCCCGGCCAAGCCCCTCCCCGCCCTCCCCCGCACACACACCCACGCCCGCCACTCGTCCTCAGGCTCTCTTCCCATTCCGGAGCTCACGCCGAGCTCCCCGGGCTCGTCGGCAGGGTCGTTCTCCCCGCCGACGCCGACGCCGGTCCAGCACCGCCTGCTGCCCGTGGACATGGACGTCGCCGCCCAGAAGGGCCGCTTCAACGACCTCCTCCGCGCGTTCCCGATGCCCGTGCCGATCCCTATTCGCCACCACGTGCACCGTGAGCACCCCCGTGTGCGCGTCGCGTAACCACCACATGCGTCTTGACTCTCTCCTCGCCTCCTCTGCATTTATTGCGATCCGCGCGAATATGAGTAGCGCCTTTCGCCTCCCCCGGCCCAGTGCCTCGCGCCGCAGCATACACCGCTTGACCGCCTCGTAAAGGTCGCGGCCGCTGCACATGCGCGCTTTCTTGGTATATATTATCACATCCTTCGGACAAGATCATGGACTCGAACTCGCATCGCATACAAACAAGTCCAAGTACAAGCAACCCTCGTTTTGGTTACAAGTCTCCTTTACACGTCGTATATATATATATTGTCGTATAGTGTGGTATCAGTACAGCAAATCATAGTCGTCTTAGCAGAGAAACTGGAATGGAGAGCATTCCAGAAGAGCACATGTAGATCAAATACTAGTAAATAGGATACTTCATCATATTCAGGACCAGATCAAGTTGGGATCGTGTGCAGCAGTGCCGCAGCACGAGGCCCATACCCCCGAAAACGTTCACTCGTACTCTGCGTTCGATACGCTCGTGGGCGATCGATATCGTGCCATGCTGTCGATTTCAGTTTTTGTTTGTCACGGCGGATACAGCACGCCAAAATACCTTTATCAACGGTGCCAGCGACAGCCCATTGTCGTTTCAGAGCGCGCCAATCAGCTGGCCTGTTGCTGTGCGCGGTGTTCGGGAGCAAGAGAACAATGGCCACGCCAACGGCGATCGGGCGACAGGCCCAATCGCATTGTTATCAGACGGCATTGTATCAAACAATACAGCTAGTGATATGGTGTGGCGGGAGAAGCCGTCCGCGATGAATCGCGAGGGTACTGTATCAGCTTGATGCGGCCCTGGATCTTGATGTGGTGGGTGAAGAATGTTATTGGTAGGCTAAATGAGGCTCACGGATTTGGAATGGCTGTTGTGCATTGACTCTACTATGCCTGAAGGCTCGACCCATCTGGGCAAGCCTTCTAACATGAAGAGAAGAGTGCCAGGGCCTACACTGTGATAATTACCCAGATAATTCTCTGATAATTCTTGGACTTAGGAGTTTTTCTTAAGTTAAATCAGGGCCTGTGATTTTGGTAAGAATTGGCCCCCGCTATTTGGGCCTGTATCTGCCATAAAACAGTTCAGCTTTGGGTCACCTTTTCCCCTCTAAACCCTGATGTGTTAGCCACTTCATTTATATCAGCTGTTCCCCTCACCCTAATCTATTCACTGCTAAGTATGCTGTATCACGAGGCTCAAAATCAGAGTCCTGAGCAGAGGGGGAATCCTCAGAGAACAAGCCAAGGAGCCCTCTGCTCAGGTGCACTACTATATACTAGTGACCAAAGTAATGCTAGAGTGACTGCATAGAGACAAACGATGCATGGGAGAAGTCAGGTCTCGCTAATGGACCCTAGGTGAATGTCGAGTAGCCCTCGAAGCTCCGGAGAGGCAGGTTTGGGACTGTGATGCCAAGGGAAGAGCCCAGGCATCCTTACAAGGCCCAGGAAGGGCTTCGGGGGGGTCCAGGCTGCCTCTGGGTGTCTCCGCTTGTGACTGTGACCGTGACAAGCGGAATCATAATCGGAATTGGAATCGATTCCGGGTGCGTGCCCATGACGTGACAGCCGGAAACGGAGAGGGGAGGCATGGAGTGGAGAGGGAAGGAGTCGGTCTAGCCCAAGGGCCGGGGAGTGTTGGAGAGGACTAATGGGAATGGCAGCCAGCCATGATTACTGGACGGTAGCGACAGGAGGGTTACTCGGAGACGTCCCCGGACATCTCCAGAGAGGTGGAGGTGCGAGGGCGTGCAGCCTGGGGCGCTACAGTAGGCACGAGCCTTAATGGCAGTAGGCCTCACCCAAAGGAAGACCTGATGCGGCCATGGTCGCGGAGTGGAGAGCGGAGCCATGGCAAGGCTCAGCCATCCGAACGTAAGCCCGAACGCTGACGTAGGTTGGGGACACCCAAGAGGTCCAACGGGTAGAGGTTGCAGGGAGACCTTGATGAGCAACAGCCCAAAGAGGCTATAAGGCCATAGGCTCGAGGTCTCAGAGGAAAGTGGTGCGTCCACATCTGGAGAGGTCTCCGATGGCATTAGTGATCTTTGATGGTGACTCTGGAGAGACTTCCAGAAAGGGGTGGCCATGGGAGTCGGAGGCTGGAGACCACTAGATGCGGGATGTGGTGGGAGTAGTGGAGGAGGAGCGTCAGGGTGCAGGGATACGGAGACCCGGGTGGAGACACAAGTGGAGATGCGGAGACGTGAGCAGAGACGCGGTGCTTGATGGGATCAAGTGACGGCATCAGGGTTTCCCCTGACATATGCTTAAATACTGAGTTGAAGAGTATTTTATTGATATCTTGGGTCCTCATCCTCTAACTTGATATAGTGTTATGGGTCAGTCTACTAAAATTGTCGGTACACAACGGAGACCGGACTCTGAGATGAGCGCAAGAAGATGGCGGAAAAGCCCCGATCCATATCATGTGACTACAATAAGTAGCTACGTCTCTGCAGACACGCAGACTAACTACAGTATATACCAACACTCCCCCTCTGCAGGGCGGAAGAGACAAGCGTAGACAGAGAACATGTACTTAGGCATCAAAGTCATCGTCAACCATCTCAAACGAGCCTTGACCTCCATATTCTGTACTGCGTAAAGTCCATGTGCAGGCGTTGGAGCGGGTTCCTGGGCGAAGTATGTTGTGACGGGCTGGATGGATTCTGCGGCAAGGTGGGTCGTCTCATATGCACGGTTGAGGCACCAGTCCTTGACTTCGGACGGCATGTCCTTGATGCAGCACGCTGCCTTGTGTGACCGCCCACCGCAACGATGACATCCATCCATGGACATATCGCACCAGTGATTGCCCTGCTGGTCAACATAACCCTCGCCTCGATGAGAACCGGTGGCTCCCCCAGAACCAGTGGTACCGACTCCCCCTCTGGGGGCAGAACCGGAAACTCCCCCTGTCGCAATTGCAGTACCAAAGTTCTTGTACCGCGTGTCGCGTTGACACGTAGCGCGAGCAGCGTATGCGGATTCGACAGGCTCCGTCTTGATAGTAGCACCTGCCGACTCGAGAAGTTTGCTAGCCTCCTCTTGAACGTCGAAATCAGGACCAGCAGATGACAAGATAGTCTTGCACTGGTCAAGATCTGGTTCTCCAGAGGCAGAACCCAGGAGATTGAGTTTTGCGGCCCCATAGGATGAATGGAGATTAGTGAGCATGACGTCCTTGAGGTAAGTGTCAGACACTTTCTCGTTGTCGGGGAGAAGTGTATTCAGACGATCGCGGAGGGACGTGATGAGGTCGAGATAGACGGAAATGGGGAGAGATGGATCATGCTGACAGCGATGGAAAGCAGCACGAGCCGCGGAACGAGTGGTGAAGGTGGACTTGTCGAAACGCTTGCACAGTGCCGCAAAATTGCTGCCCCCCCATTCTCCTTTGCGTAGATTGAACGCGTATTTGGATCTGTGAGGGCGCGAATAACAGCTGCAGCAATTGTGTTCCGCTTATCCCATTCGGCTGCCTCAGCCGCCTGCGTTGGACGCGTTGTTGTGCCTTCGACAATGCCATTGGTGACACCATCAGCAGCGAACACAGTGTTGACCATTTCATCCTTCCAAAAGGTCCAGGCTTCAGCCTTGTTGACAGAGAGCTTGGGGATGTCCTTGGCAAGTGCGAGGAAGCCAGTGGTAGCAGTCGTCATGATGGTAGGAAGAGAGAAGGAAGGGGTGGAAGATCGGGGTGGATAAGGTGTGTAAGGGGGCTCTTAGATGGGATAGACTCTTAGATGGGGTTATAGGAGCTCGGGGCCCATAACCTGTTGGTACACAATGGAGACCGGACTCTGAGATGAGCGCAAGAAGATGGCGGAAAAGCCCCGATCCATATCATGTGACTACAATAAGTAGCTACGTCTCTGCAGACACGCAGACTAACTACAGTATATACCAACAAAAATCCTAGCGACTAATTCCCATACAGTTACTGTTGTGCCCAGTCAATTCCCAGAGACTTCAGGTACTATATAACCTAGGATCAAGATATGTCACACAGGTCTGTTGCGGACTGGTCTAGCAGGGCCAGCCATATTGCAGAGCACACCACTATAATCTAAGGTAACATTGGACATTTCAGTCTCTGAGTCTCTGATTTGGCATCAATTACTTGGACAAAGCTCTACTAGCTCTGCAACTATAGCAGGTTTAGGAGCCTGGCTCTAGGTGGCCGTGAGTAGGAGAAGGGATCTGAAGCATAAATATAAACATGATATTGTTTTACCTGTAGTCAAAGTACCCGCCTTGTCAGAGCATACTAGTAGGACTGACATACACCCTAGAGTCTGTATATAGTGGCTAGATTTTGATAAGGACCTATTTTAATTTCATAGGATTAGAGTAGCTTAGGGTATTCAGTGTTTGTAGCTACTATTTGAGATTGCTTTGTTGAACGCAGCGGCCAGAGTCGGCGCGAAGGAAGGGAGAAGAGCACGGTGTTGAGACTCCGCTCCGGCTGAGCGCGGAGCAAGACATCTCGGCGCTGCGTAAGCAAGCTTTCGTCATCACGCCGCGGCATCACGCGCATCAAACGCGTTCCCGCACTCAACGGCGACGCGTCTCCGCCCGTTTGAGTCATCGGGCGCGGCCCCGGAACTCGGTCTGACTCGCCCTCAGAGTCATTTCATTTTATTACCAGTATATAAAGCACTGTATTCCATAATTATATCAAGTTTTTAGCACCCTCACTTTATGATCTAAGTGTCCGCCGTCCTCGTATATGTCTTCCTGCGCCCTCGTCGTTGCGCTCGTGTCCCTCGCCGCCCTCGCCTCTACTGCACACTCATACAACACATCCATCCCTGCCCCTTCCCTTTGTCCTGGGTATGGTCTGACCCTTGCACATACTTACAGTTGTTGGACACTGGGAGTTGTGATGCTGATCCTTTTGGGGTTAGCTCGCGCTCTTGAGCTCGTTCTCAGCGCATCAGCGGGGGCGGAACACGAGACCAGCA